TAGTCATTGGTGGGTGGGTGTCCCATGGGAAGTGAGCAAGGGGGGGACCCCCTCTGCAATTCACCTTCCTTATTTGCATAATGGTCCCACCAGCAGCTTTCATGTGGCAACAGGAAGTTGGGGCAGAGCTATGGTCCTTCCTTTGATCTAGTGACTTCAGTGACCTATGAACTCCACTTGATTTTTTGTCTCTTCTTCCTTAGGAAGCACACTGTGTACTACGGGGGCTTCCATGGCAGTCACCGAGTCATCATTTGGCTTTGGGATATCCTAGCCAATGATTTTAACCCTGATGAAAGAGCCATGTTTCTTAAGGTAAGCGCTGTGTGTGTGTGTGTGCGCGCGCACACACACACACACACACGTGTAAAACAAGAGTGACCAAGCAGGCCTGGGGCCCTCCAGATGTTGGGCTTCTGGCTCCCACTGGCCTCAGCCAGCATGACCAATAGTCATGGATAATGGGAGTTGGGAGTCCACCAGGTTGGTCATTCATGGACTTTAGTCACTTGTGTACATGTGGACAGCTCAGTCAGTAGAGCATGAGACTCTTAATCTCAGGGTCGTGGGTTTGAGCCCCATGTTGGATGAAATATTCCTGCATTGCAGGGGGTTTGGACTAGATGATCCTTGTGGTCCCTTCCAACTCTGATTCCCGCAAGTGTAGTTTCTTGCTGGTCTTCTGAGTGCTTCTGATATGCACTGTATATATGGTTACCTGTGGTCTTTCCCCTAAAGAGAAAGCAAGATTTTGGTCTTCATGATCCACCGTAAAGGGCTGCTGTAACATTGGAGCTGCCTTATACTGAGGTCTGCTCTTCTTGCGTAGCTCTGTGTTGCCTGCACTGACTGGCAGTGGCTCGCCAGGTTTCAAAGTAGACTCTTTCCTACCCCCATCTGGGAATGTTGAGGATTGAACCCAGGAACGCAGGCACCCAAAGGCCTTGCTCTGGTACAAACTGGGGTCCCAGCTTGTTTAAATGCAGGCACATAAAGGCTGCTTCGGACAGAGAAAGGACTTTGATCAATCTAGACCAGGAATCCATTCCCCACTTGGACATGCAGCTCACTAGGTGACCTTGGCCCACTCTCACGCTCAGCCATACCTACCTCGCAGGGTTGTTGTGGGGCTCCAATGACGAGAGGGAGAACCATGGACATGCTGCCTTGAGCTCCTTGGGGGGGGAGGTTGGATTTAAATACAATAAAACAATAATAATAAATGTGGGGCAGCCCCTCAACAATGGTGCTGCACCCCAGTTGAAGAGCCAGCCTGATCCAGTACATGTCTCCCCCTTCCCCTTGCTCTTTTTCCTCTCCTGTGCCAGTTTGTTACCAGCTGTTCTCGGCCGCCACTGCTGGGCTTTGCCTACCTCAAGCCCCCCTTCTCCATCCGCTGCGTGGAAGTATCCGATGACCAGGTGTGTGCATGAGCCAAGCTGGCGAGCCTTGACCTCCTGTGTTCCCTGCAGGTGCCATGGTCTCCTTCCTGGCAGGGAAGTGTCTGCTGGCTCCACCCTCCCTTAAAGGAGTCACAGTTCACGGAATTAGACAAATTCTTGGAGAAGAGAGCTATCAGGGCCTACTAGGCACACCAGATACTTCCGAGTGCCATGAGGTGGTGGAGGGAAGTGCTCTTGTGCTCAGGTCCTGCTTGAGGGCTTCACATGGCGACGTCTGGTTGGCCACTGTGAGAACAGGAGGCTGGGCTGCAGGAGCCACTGGCCTGGTTCAGCTGAAAGGAGGATCCCAGGCTTGTCTGTAGAGGACAGCCCTGGAACCTTGAGGGGGAATGTTGGGGAGGAGGATGGAGGGAGATCTTTCTCCCAATTCAGCTCCCCACCCCCCACCCCGGTTCAGGTTGTAAGCCCTTTTAGATTTACTTAACTGGATCATGTGTTTTGCGGAGAAATCAGCTGTGTGGGAGGAATCCAGGGTCTCAACAGTGAGGCTAATGGCAGAAGTAGAGGGACAGCCAAGGGCCAGGCAGCAACTGGGGAGTTTAAGGCCAGTTTAGGTGTTACTAGGGTAACACTTTAAACAGTCATGGCTTCCCCAAAATAATTATGGGGGTTACAATTTGTTCAGGGTGCCAGGAATTGATAGGAGACTCCCTATTCCCCTCATGGAGTTTCCGAGTTCTCTGTGAAGAGGGATGGATTGATCTATAGACTGCTCTAAGAACTGTAGCTCTGTGTGGGCAATAGGGGCCTCCTCACAGCTCCTCAGCACCCATCACAAACTACGGCTCCCAGAATTCCTGGGGGTGGAGAGCCATGACTGCAAAGTGGTGTGAATGTGACCTAGGCCACCAGCAGGCCTGTCTCAGCCATGATGCTCTGTAACCACCAAACACCAAAGGTGATGCAAAGCAGCTCCCAGCTGAATCGCGTACCATAAGGCAGGCCTGTCCTTTGGGGCTGGTCCCCTCGCTCTGCTCTAGAGAGAGCAGTTATTCTCTGATGTGGAAATAGTGAGGACCCTGCCTGGAACAGGCTGCTCTGTTGGGGTCCCAAGGGCCTTCTGGGCAGAGAGCACCCAGATCTTATGCAAGATGCTTTGTTCAGCCTGCAGCGCTCGCCAGGCGCGTGTGTTTGTGGCACCCCAAGCCCTCTGTTTCTCTCCCCAGGACACGGGGGACACCCTGGGCAGCGTCCTGCGGGGCTTCTTCACCATCCGGAAGAAAGAGCCGGGCGGGCGACTGCCCACCTCCTCGACCTGCTTCAACCTCCTCAAGTTGCCCAACTACAGCAAGAAGAGCGTTCTGCGGGAGAAGCTGCGCTACGCCATCAGCATGAACACAGGCTTTGAGCTCTCCTAGCCCACGCTCTCAAGAGCTGGATGGGCTCTCAGGGCTATACCTTGGTAAACGGCCGCCTGAGCAGGCTGCAGCTCTGGCCTGGGGTCCGGCATCGCTCTGATGCCGCTGGACGCAACTCTGCAAGGAGGACCTCCTTGGAAACGCAGCTGGCCTGCCATTAAATGTAGCATCAAGAGCCAAGCCTGCGCATTGTCCTTGGAGGGGGGCCATGCCTAATGCACACAGGGCAGGCAGGGTCACACAAACTACTCATGGGCCCAGGGTGTGTGCCCTGTGGATAATTTTTATCTTGGGCAAATAGTTGGACCTTGCTGTGGGCCAGGCCAGGTCAGACTCTGGCAAAACGCTGTGGAACGATGGTCGGGAGCTGGCTTTTCCCTCCCACTTTGGCTTCTGAAAAACAGGCTTGAGGCTGCTCAACTCAGGAGCCCCATGAGATTGCAGGAGCTTTCTCTTCATGTTTTTTGTGTTCCTCTCTCTCTGCCCAGGTTTTGTCGCCTGCGACTTTCCCACAGCTTGCCAAACTGCTTCCCATTGACTCTCGGTCTGAATACACGTTTGCCTGCAGGCCCCCAAATGAGCTTCCCGCTATGTGGGGAGCACAGGTTTGTGATGTGGAATTCCTCCCCCGTGGCAGATTTTTGCTAGTTGTGGGCCTGCAGCTTGTCAGATGTCAGAGAGCAGCCTTCACCAACCTGGTGCCCTCCTTTCTGACCATCGGCTGGGGATGGTGGAACTGGGAGGATGGGCCAAGGGCCCATTGGCAGGGAACTCCTCTTAGGGCCTCAGTTGGCAGAGCCCGCTGGAACATTTAGTGGCTGAGCTAATCTGCAGAGGCTCCTGTGCGGCTGAGAGCAGTTCCCTGCTCTAACCTCTCAGGGACTTTGCTATGCTGAATAGCTTCTCAATTTCCGTTCAGGAACAGCAACTCCATTAAACTCTGTAATTGCAAAGGAGTTTATGCTGAGGTTGCTCGTTATTCATTGCTTGCTCTGTATTCACATTCATTTGTGCACTTGTCCTTCCCAAGCTCCCCTTCTTTGACATCTCCCACAATCCCAGATGTGCCCAAAGGGAAGAGAAAAAACGTCCCCACAAGGTGATATTTCTCCCCAGGGATCCACCTTTTGCTGAATCTGATTGGACCATGTGCAAAGCATAGGGCATCTTTCAGGGACTGGACTTGTCCTGGTCCTGGTCTCTGCTTTGCCACAAATGGGTTGATGTCTTTGGAATGAATAAACGCCAGGAAGCAAGGGAGAAAGGTCACCTTGTGCAGGGTCTTCCTTCTCTCCAAGTAGATTTGTGATCAGCTCAGTCTCCCACCCAAGGAATCCTGGGGATCTGAATATGAGTGGGAAGGAAGGGATTGAACTGTAATCAAATGCAAAATATTTTAAGAATGTTGGGTTTTACTGGTTTTATTGTTTTTCTTTTTGCAGAAGCCCCATTTAATGCTTTCTAACCTTGATTATTCCACCATTGCGAATCTTTAGCCTTGAGGTGTAAAATAGTTGCTTGTTTTTAAAATAATTCTAGTGAAGGGCTGGGCCCAGAGAACACTCTCAAGCATGAACCTGTTAACTGAAAACCCAAATCCCCACCTTTTCTTGATTTTGCTTTGAATGTTGCAGAAGAATGTGTGTCTCATGTTTTAAATGCTAGACATTAAGCATTCTCTTAATGGATTTGGAAGTATTGCACTACAGAAGTTGCAGGATACTCTATGACAGCCTTTTGGATGTTTTGGATGACAGTTCCCAACAGCCCAGATCTGTGCTGGGTGGGGCCCATGGGAGTTATAGTGCAAAACATCTAGAGGATGCCAGTTGGTGAAGGAATGTTGGGGTGGCATGGGGCAAGCTCTCCAGTAGAATCTCTCCAATAGAGTAGGAATGGGGGGGTGACACTATACAGCACCCCCTCCCAGTGGTCTCCTTGACCCTCTGATGAACTGCTTCCTCCATGTATACATTTTCAGAACAGATGTGCAAATAGTGATTGTGTACTAAATATGTTGAAAGAGTTTGGCTGTTCTAGCCCACAACAGTTGGGCATGGTGTGGCTTTCCCAAACAAGGAAGGCTATGCAAGCTGTCAGGGGTCTAACATCACCCCCACCCCAAAACAATGCCTTGCATGTCTGTGTCATGAGGTGGGGAGAGGAAAGTTTGCCATAGGAGATTAATAAAATATTTTATCTTGGCCCTCCTGTATCCTAGCATTTTACAGCATATTCTCCATGTTGGAAATAAACTTGACAGATTGGTTCAATATAGTCATAGGGAGGTGGGTTTCTCCCTCCCCACTTCGTAAAAATTGGCTTCTGTTTCAAAGAAACCTACAGCAGTGTGAGGAAACGTACAACAGAGACTCCCATGACTGAAGCGGAGGTATGTCTCTGAACAGTTCAACAGACCCTGAAGAGGAAGGGTCGGGTATGTTAAATGGCAGCCACTGAGAGGCAAATGAAAAATTGGGAGTCCTGCTGACAAAAGGGAAAAAGCAGAAGCCCTCTGGCAGCTGAGCTGCATCCCAAAGCTCCCATCTGGTGATGCCCACTGCTGCCTTCCTCCTCTCAATAGCCGTTTCCAGGATCTCTCTGCACAAAGGTTACAATGGCAGAACTTTGCTGTGCTTGAGATGCTGCGTCTCCTGCCAAAGTGTTGATGGATTCAATGATGACCTCAAAAAGAAAAAGAGGACAAGGAAGTGTAACAGAGGCTGTGGTCTGCAAGTCAATCTGAGCCAAAGCGCCAAGTGCCTCTGGCAACAGAACACCTCTTGCGGAGAAGGGCTCTGCAACACATCAGGCGTGGCATGTGCTTCTCCCCTCTCCTTTTATCAGCACATGTCAATAAATGCAGCTGAAGTCTATTCATAGTGAACGCTCCAAGTTCTCTTAGCAAGCTGGTCTCAAAATGGAGCAAGACTGGAGCCGCAAGCTTTAAATAAGCTTTCCGGAGTAGATTTCAAGAGCTCAGTTTGAAACTGCAAGCAATCTTCCATCTTGTCCAGTCCTCTGTCTGAAAGCCTGGCAGTCCACCTCTTGCATCAGAGGGCCTCTGCTCCCTACTCCGTTCTGGTGTAGATCTTCTCCTGCTTCCCTTCCTTCATTGCAGCATAGCGGGCAAGAACAAATAAGTAGTCGCTCAGTCTAAGGAACGGGAGAAAAAAGCTGTTGTCCATCTCTGTACAGGATAAGAGCTTGTAATGGGCACGTCTACCCTAAGGGTGGGGCAGCGTCTAGGGCTGGAAGGAGGAAGATGTCCCTGCGCATGTAGCCAATCAAAAAGGTAGAGGAATGGATGTGCTCCCCCTCCCCTAACTGGATGTCCGCCAGGTGCTTCAGACTAAAATCTAAGGTAGCCAGTTGGGGAAGGCTGACTTAGGCAGTTGCCAGGTACCAAAGTAAAATCCAGCCCCCGTGAGGCCTGCAATTTCAGTGGAGGAGGCAGGCACTGAACGAGAACCAGCATCTATAGCAATGGGATATGGCAGAAGGCCACGTTTAGCCACGATAATCTGGCTGCTGCATGACCCCCTCCCCAAAACAGGGAGAACAGGAGTCAAACAGGCTGTGAGAAGTTACCTGTGCATGCTCCATGATGACACTACCTACCTTAAAACGGGGCAGAGTATTTGTCCTTTCCAACTGGTTGCAGCAGCTCTCTGCCAGAGAAGGGTCCCTTCCCCATCACCTGCCAACAGCCCCTTTTACCTGAAGATGCCAGGGGCGAAACTTTGGACCTTCTGCATGTCAAGCCTGCATGGAACTACAGCCCTTCCCAAAACACCTTCCGCATGTGGAGCAGGGAAGCACTAGCAATTTGGGTATGCCTACAGGGTGTGCACCTAGAGAAAGGACATCTCTTCCCCACCATCCTCTCTCAAAGACCAGCAGACTCCAGATGTCTTCTTCCACTGCCCCAAATCTCAGCTTCCACGCTTCCTCCTCTCCACTTCCCAGCTTAAGCACAAAGTGATCCAGGTGGAGCCTTCCAGATGTCATTTGACTACGATTCCCATCACCCCCCATCAGTGGCCATGCTGGGAGCTGGAGTTCAACAACATGGACAGGGCATCATTTTGGCTACCCCTGCACTAATCTCCCACTCCCTTTCCTCCAAGTTGTTGGAAGAGAAAAGACAAGACTGTTTGGTCTCCGCAGGAGAGTCAGCAAGGTCCATGTAAGTGCTCCAAGGTAGACCAGTAGTTCCCAAACTGGCATAAAATGACTATCAGACTCTGAAAAGCTGGTACCACTGGATCAAATTCATCAGTTGTGTTGAATTAATTAAACTAAATAGTTTCAAATGGATTTTGAATAAAGGGGGAATTAGTTGTTACTGTTTTGAATCTTAGTGCTATCTTCTTTAGTGGGTTATGCAAACTGCTATTTTGAATACTGCTTTCTATAGGGTTGGGGGGCACTAGGAACCAAGGGGCACTATGGAACCAAAGGGGCAGGGCTCCCAAAATAGATGCAAAAGGGACTCTCATCCCATCCCCTTGTCTCAGTAGGAGATATCCAGCAAGAAGTACCCAGGGAAGAGCAGCCTTCCCCATCCTGCTCTCTACTAGATCAGCCCCAGAAACCAGCAGGGCCAGTGGCCAGGAAAGGAGGTGCAGAGAAGCCCTTATCTGGTGCCTTGACTGTGTGATCCACTAGAGTCTAGACACATTCCCCCTGTCCCCCCCCCCCATCCCAGCTTTGTCAAAAGGAACAGTTCCAAGTTACCTGTTCAAAAACTTGGCCACGTCTGCATCTGCTTCTCCCATTTTCACCAAAGGAATCACACTGCAGAAGAGAAAAGGAAGACAGTCATCACTACAGCTGATATAATTGGATCCAAAACCACCTTTCATGCCCCCCATCGGCATGAGTAAATTTTGCCTTGTTCTGCCAGATCCTAAGGTGCCAAAAACATTATTTGCTAAATGCTCCAAATTCTCTGCTCCAAACCAACTGTGCATTTAAAGGGGGGAGAGTACCCACAATTAGTTTGCACTGGCCATTAACTCTTTTGGCAAACACTTCCTTGTCTTGCTGCACAGTACAAACTCTGATCCGTGCCCTCCCCCAGCATTGCTGGGGAGCACCTGTGGTCGTTTCCAAACAATTTTCATGCAAGCCTTACAAGGTTGACATGCCAGCGAAGACTGAACAAGAGAGGTTGGCAGCCCAGACAGCTCACTCAGGGCAGCAGGGGGTTCTCATGGCTTTGTCAGTGCAGTTGCTCACTTACCACCTCTCGGCTCGGCGGCAGATGGCTCTGGAGAGATGGAGAGCAGTGCTGCTTTTGCCGCCAGACTGAAATGACATTAAACAAAACATCCAGATCTGCCTTATGCCAGGGTCAGGCCCATCCAACTGTTGGAAAACAAGCCCCCTCGGGAGAGGCTGGCCCCCCTTCTCTGCTCTCGGAGCTTCTTTACCGGTAATTTTCCTCTGGCTGACATCCCGGACACACCAGGGAGATTTTGATAGGCGACATTTCCCAGCGTGGAAAATGCACACCCCCTCCCTCCTTGCATATCAGCAAGAGAAAAGAGATAGTCAGAAATCTATTTACATCCTTTTATTTCTGACTTTACAGCACTACAGAAAACATGTCCGATCAGTTCAGACTTCATCTAGCAAGTGGCTAAGACTTCCTGTACATACGCAAGAGGAAGGTCTCATATTACACACTACACAAAGACTTTTCAAGCCTGTGAACTTCCGGGAAAATTCTTTCCCACAGCTAGTCACATCATGTGATGTAAACAAGCTACCAGTTTGCAGCTGCGTTGCTCATATCGTAACTGTCCATCTGCTCCTGACTGATGAGAGCGCCCCGGGGTCCTCAGCAGAGAGCAGTCTTTCCCTGATACTTTTGAGACAGGGCAGGCTGGGGACTGAACCTGAGACCTGTGGAGCTGCAAGCCCTCGCCTGAAGCAGGAACAGGAGCATTTGCAGCCAATGCAACCATTTTGGCTACCTTCCCACAGAAGTCAGGAGGAGTGTCTGTGAAACCACGCCCTAAGGAAAGTGCTGTGAACTAGCTGTTAGCTGTGATTCCTGCCCAGCAGGGGGTTGGATTAGATTATCTTTGGGGTCCCCGCCAGCTCCACAATTCTATAATTCTGTGTGAGCCTGAGGGGAGTGATTAGCCCAGGGCCTTAGAGCAAGCTTGGGATTTAGGTAGCAGTTAAAGTGGTTTGTGATGGCCCCCAACTTAGATTGCTGTAAAAAGGAACTACAGAAACTCATGGGTGTCCACAAGTTCTAGCATCATGAGAGAGGGAGGAATACTTTTCTCTGGTGCAAAAGGGGAGGAATCTTGCTTGGTCTGGCTGCATCAAAGTGTTCCCTGGCACACCCAGGGGCGAGCAGGATCATTCTCCCTTTGCATCAGCTGGTGTGTGTGTTGGGGGGCAGGATCCATGCACCCGAACCCAGAACTAAGCAGCCTGATCAATGGCTCAGAGCTTCCCAAAGGCCCCAGCAGGAACCCCGCACAAGAATCTGGGTGGCTGAGCCACCTGTCACCCACAGCCCTGTGACACTGTTCCTGATGGGAATCTGGCCAGTGGAAACCAAGAGTTGTCTGCCCCCCACCTTCTGTGCTGCAAGGCCTCTGCTTTGTGACCTCCTCACAGACGGAGCACAACGGAACACGCAAAATACCTACAGGTAAAATGAAAGCTGTGAGTGGTGGAAGCTGCTCAGAGTAGTGATCGATCCAGGCCTCCAGCTCCAGAATGGGCTTTTCACTGAACGACGTTCGCTCTGCAGAAGAAGAGACACGGCTGAGTGGACCAGCCAACCAAGGAGTCGCCCACAAAGCGAAGCCCTGGCTTCTTCATTCCCCTGCTTAAGTCACAGGATAGGGGCTGCCACCACATGACGCATCAACCTTGCTAAAATGAAGGAGGCTTGAGCCTGGGTCTTGGGGCCTGTGTGGGTTCCAGTGCTGAGTCCTGGAATACCTCAAGCACCTCTGAGCATGCACAGAGCATTTCCCCCCAAAATGGTTAAAATGCCATCTTGCATTTTTAAACAGGGTTTAAGTAAGTGGGCAGCCCTAACAAGCAGAAGCACTATGGCCAACTTGTGCATTTGGCAACCTAGCAAGTCAACGTTTATTAGAGACATTTATACTTGGGATATATTCATATGCAATGCTTTTAAGGCATGCATCAAAATCTTTGCGGAAAAAGCATTTCCCCCCACTAAGAAACCACAATGGAGGCTTGTGAGTTTCTGTTCCAGGGCATGGTCTGAGGGAGCTTGACATGGCTGAAGCTTGGCAGGTCTGGGTCCAGTCAGACCCTTGCCTAGGGCCCTGCCAGGAAGAAAGAAAGGAATGGGGTGTAAATGCAATAAAAAAACCAATTTAAATAAGCCACATAAACAAAGGTTTCATGGTCAGAGTACTTCCTTCCGTTGTCCAGCAAAACTGATCCCCAAAAGCAATGGCAGCAAAACCATTTCAAAAAGGGCAGCAGTTAGCTTATTTTTAAAAATGAAGATCTATACTAGGTTCCAATTACTTAAATGTGACTCCCTGGCTGAGGATATGGGAGTTGCCACGTTGGAGCCGGCATCCTGCAGCACACACTGGACCTGCGGAAACAAAACAGAGCAAAGGTGTTTGGGATGAGCACTATTTTTGCACAGATGGCGAGACATTCAGAAAGCAGTTTTAATTCTCGGTCTGGCCCGCCTTCATGTCTCTGAAGGTGCCAAAGAATGGGCAGAGTTCTCTGACCTAAATCGGAAGAGGCTTTGGAACGCCCACCACCACTGGCTCCATCAGGGGGTGGGAAACTGTGGTGGTCCTCCTCTGGCAGATGAAGCTGCACTCCAGCTCCTATCAGCCCGACCAGCATGGCCAATGGGCAGGGATGGTGGGAGGTGGGATCCAGCCACATCTGCAAGAGGACGACAACTGCTGGCTCCCTGCCCTTGCCTTAACTTACACAAGCAGATGGACAAGAGTTAGGCCAACAGCTCTTAGGCAGAACACCTCCGCACAAGATGCTCAGTGATAGGATATCCCCAATGACCGAATGCTAGCAACTGTTGCCAGCCATTACAATTTACTGAATTTATTGCTCCCATAGGAAGCATTGATGGCCCCCAACTTGGAGGGCTTTAAGAGAGGATAGGACAAATTTAGGGAGGAGATGCTATCTGTGCTCTGCCTCTTCATTGAGTGAGACTTCCAAACACCGGCTGTGGGACACCTCAGGCAGGGAGGGGGAGGAGAGCACTTGTGCTTGAGGGTTTCCTACAAGCGACTGGTGGCAACTGTGAGAACAGAATGCTGGCTGAGATGGGCCATTGGCAGGGCTCTTCTTCAATAAAAATCTACTAGTAGAATAGCAAATATATAAATTAAGCAACACACAGTAACAATACAACAACTTACAGTCATACCTCGGGTTAAATACGCTTCGAGTTGAGCGCGTTTGAGTTGCGCTCCTCAGCAACCCGGAAGTAACGGAGTGCGTTACTTTCGGGTTTCACCGCTTGCGCATGTGCAGAGAACTGGGCCAAAACAAACAAGATGAACTTTAACAGGGAGAAATGTAAAGTATTGCACTTGGGCAAAAAAAATGAGAGGCACAAATACAAGATGGGGGACACCTGGCTTGAGAGCAGTACATGTGAAAAGGATCTAGCAGTCTTGGTTGACCACAAACTTGACATGAGCCAACAGTGTGACGCGGCAGCTAAAAAAGCCAATGCAATTCTGGGCCTCATCAATAGGAGTATAGCATCTAGATCAAGGGAAGTAAGAGTGCCACTGTATTCTGCTCTGGTCAGACCTCACCTGGAGTACTGTGTCCAGTTCTGGGCACCACAGTTCAAGAAGGACACTGACAAACTGGAACGTGTCCAGAGGAGGGCAACCAAAATGGTCAAAGGCCTGGAAATGATGCCTTATGAGGAACGGCTAAGGGAGCTGGGCATGTTTAGCTTGGAGAAGAGGAGGTTAAGGGGTGATATGATAGCCATGTTCAAATATATAAAAGGATGTCATATAGAGGAGGGAGAAAGGTTGTTTTCTGCTGCTCCAGAGAAGCAGACACGGAGCAATGGATCCAAACTACAAGAAAGAAGATTCCACCTAAACATTAGGAAGAACTTCCTGACAGTAAGAGCTGTTCGACAGTGGAATTTGCTGCCAAGGAGTGTGGTGGAGTCTCCTTCTTTGGAGGTCTTTAAGCAGAGGCTTGACAACCATATGTCAGGAGTGCTCTGATGGTGTTTCCTGCTTGGCAGGGGGTTGGACTCGATGGCCCTTGTGGTCTATTCCAACTCTATGATTCTAAGATGCTCAAAATGACGTCACGTGCATGCGCAGAAGCGGCGAAAAGCAACACGTGCATGCGCAGGTGTGCTGTCGCTAGTTACGTTTACCTCTAGATGCGAACGGGGCTCCGGAACAGATCCCGTTCGTATCTAGAGGTACCACTGTATTATTTATACCCCGCCCATACTGTATATAAAAAGAACACGAATGAAAAGTCTTAAAGTTTCTCTTGCTGTCTACTCTTAGCCCAAGAGCTGGACAAGAGGGTCCTTTGGTCTGATCCAGGAAGGCAGTCCTTGTATGCAGATGCTGTCAGTGACGGGGATACAGCTATTTCTTACCTGGTGAAGTTCCTGCACAAACGAGTGGCCTCCTTCACTGCCGAATTCAGCACTTAGCCTGCAGCAAAATAGGAGAGATTTTACCCTGAGATATAGGTAAATGCAGCATCATACGATGCTGTTCGTATGAGAGGTTTACCTCTTGTGGAGGCACTACAAACAAGCCTGAAACCAGTTGAATTGTCAAGTTTCCCCAAAGAACTATTGTGATGTGAGAGCAAGAACATTTCTTCATGAGAGGTGCATGGCCTTCTCATGTTCAGACAGACAGGAAATTGGTTCAGGGCAGACACAATCTGTTCCCGGCTCTTCATATGAGATGAGACCTGCAGGATTAGACCAGAACATCTGGTCTAGCATTGCTTGCCCTTAAGTGGCCAACCAAATGCTTCCAAGAAGCACAGAAGCAGAACAGGAAGGCAACAGCCACGCCCATTATTGCTCTCCAGCATGTGGAATTACTGAGGTAGACTGCCTCCCAACTTGAAGGTTCCATAGAGCCATCCTTGCCTAGCAGCCACTGAAAAAGACCCCCCCCAAAAAAAATTGTCCAATGTGGGGGTGAGGGAACATCTCTGACCCTCCAGATGTGGTTGAACTGCAACTCTCCACAGCTGGAATCCAACATCTAGAAAACTACCACAGATTCCCTCTGGGGAAGCTCATTCCAGAGATTTTTTTTTGGGGGGGGGGTTGGAATAACCTCCTCCAACATCTGGCAAAAGACTGCAGCACTCTTGCAGGGCGAGATGATGTCCCCTGGAGCCGGGAAGCAGGGCCAGGCACAGCCTGCTCCTCTGACATCACCAAGGCAGGACACAAATGGCGAGTCAGGGCTGTGGGCAGCTGTCACAGGGCGAGGCCTCTACTCCAGTTCCAACAGGCTTCTGTCACTCCCCTCTCCACCCTGGACCATGCTGCCTGGCAGGTTTCATTTCACTTAATAAAAGGTTTTGGCACTGCTCTTTGTTAATCAGGTAACAGGGTGGGGCTCAGAATAAGGTTATGCCAGGGAATAAGGTTGTGCAAGGAAATATGCTGCCTGCTGCCAACCAGCAAGAACAGCTGCTGGGGAAAATGAGAGGCTCTCCTTGCTTCCCATGACAGAACTGCTTTCTTTCATATCAAATTAGCACTATTAAATTTTTTTATTACCCACCTTTCACCAGCAAGTCCCAGGGTGAAATTCAACAATTTAAAAATTCAGAGTTAAAAAGGTTAAAGCTTATTAATGTCACAGTAATTGGGTGGGTCCTAAAAACCATGTCTCAGGTGCCAAAGGTCCAAAGCCATAAAGTGAAGGTGCCAGCCGCCCCTGTGGGGAGGGAACAGCTGAGGGGCTGCCTGAGAAGGCCCTCTCCTCCTGGGCCACCACCAACATCTCAAGTGCCTGTTGATCTTAATATACGGAAGGGTTCTGAAAGGAGGGGGTCTTTCAGGAATCGAGTTGTTTAGGGCTTTGAACACAAATGTGATTACTTTGAATCAGACCCAGAAACAAACTGGCAGTCTATTATTCTCTGAAACATTCTTATAAATTGAAGAAATAATTGACAGTCTTTTGGTTACCCTATGGCTGAACTCAGTTCATCGAGTGTTCCCAGGGCATCAAAGATCTGGTCATCTTTTGCTCTCCTCTCTCCAGTGAATGTGCTGGAAAACCCTTTTGAAAACCACGCAAGATGATAACAGTGAGAAAAATATGAAGCGGCTCACACCCAAGTGCCCAAAGCCCTGTTCACACGTGCATGTGCAACGATTGATTTCTGTAGCCCCAATGACTGGCAGCTGAATGTGGCAACTGACTCCAATGAAAGACCACGGAATTTCTCTGCAGTGACTCATTCGCCCAGGCAAGGAATCACTTGGGACAGTAGGCTTCACGGTATTTGCACTAATACAGTAAAGGTAAAGGGACCCCTGACCATTAGGTCCAGTCGTGACCGACTCTGGGGTTGCGGCGCTCATCTCGCTTTACTGGCCGAGGGAGCCGGCGTACAGCTTCTGGGTCATGTGGCCAGCATGACTAAGCCGCTTCTGGCAAACCAGAGCAGCGCACGGAAATGCCGTTTACCTTCCCGCCAGAGCGGTACCTATTTATCTACTTGCACTTTGACGTGCTTTCAAACTGCTAGGTTGTCAGGAGCAGGGACCGAGCAACGGGAGCTCACCCTGTCGCAGGGATTCGAACTGCCGACCTTCTGATTGGCAAGTCCTAGGCTCTGTGGTTTAACCCACAGAACCACCCACGTCCCTTACTAATACAGTATCCCCACTCAAATGTATTATTATTATTAAAAAAGAATCTGAGCAAAGCATCTCATATTTTACAATCTCTTGTGTTTTCTTTTGTTAACAACATGTCACAGGTACATTATAAAATATTTTCCATTTGTTTCTGTGTGTAGATATATATTTGAAGCAGAGACAAGCAGCCGATTCCAGCAGTCATTCTAAGGCTGTCAAAAATGCCCCTTGTGGCACCATGGCGCTCTCATGGGCCAAGGAATAGCCGGGTGGATCGGAGACCTGCCTCCGCTGGCAGGATGCTGCTACCTTGGTCTCCTGTTTTCGTGTATAACTTGGGGATTTGGGTTGTTTTCCTGGGCTTGGCATCCATGCTGCAGAGGAAGAGGAGAGGGAAATGGTCCTTTACATTCATTCCCTTTGCATATTCACATGAACTATTTAGTTAACAAAAATTAAGACACAACACATGATGCAATCGACTTTCAAATGAGGATCAATGCAACGTCCACCACGAGCGCGCCTTTTTAAAGCCAACCCTTAACGTTTCTGGTTTTAGAAGTAACAGAGGCGCCTCCCCCAATCACGCTTTTCTTCGCGCGCCTCGCCCCCCCCCCCCCGCTTCCACGGCGCTTCCTCCCGGCTAGGCAAGGAAACGGGCCGCTTCAGACGTGACGCTGCAACCCGTGCAAACCTGGGCGCCTCTCCGGCCCCGCTCTGCTCCCGGCTCAGGCGCCTCGCGCTCCCGCCCAGGGGCCAGGCCGCCGCCCCCGCCGCCGCCCGCCGCACGGCGCGCCCCAAGAGCAGGCCCGCCATGGCGCCGCCGCCGCCGCCGCCGCCGCTCCCGATTGGCCCGGAGGATGAGGGCGGCGCTTCCGTGGGGCGGGGCCAAGCCGCGGCGCTGCCGGGAGGTCGCTGGCTGGCCGGTCGGGCTGCTCCGGAGGGGCTGCGGGGCCCCCTTGCCGGGAGGAGGAGGAGGAGATGCGCCCCTGGGTGGTCTCTGCTCCGGGGAAGGCGATCCTGCACGGGGAGCACGCCGTCGTCCACGGCAAGGTGAGCGCGGCGGGGCGGGCGGGGGGGGGGCGCCGGGATCGGGGGCGAGGCAGACAAGGCGGCGGGAGGAGGAGCGCGCCTCGCTCGGGCAGATGCCGCAGCCTGAGTGCTGACCGAAGGGAGACCTGGCCAGCCGGGAGCACCTTCAGGGTCTTCCTGTCATCGGGCCCGGTTCCCCCGCCGGATCGCCGCCTTGCCCCGAAGATGCCCCTCGGCCCTCCCCGCCTGCTCTCTTTCCGAACATTTTTTGTGGGCCAACCCGGCCCAGATATGCGGAATGTGGGTGTCTGTTTTCACTTATCATTGATTTTAGCTATTTTTGAACGTTTTAAATAGTTGTTTTAAACTGTTTTTACTGATGATAATTCTATTTCTCTTTCCTTTTATAAACTGCTTTGTTTATTTTTATTTTTTACAAACAAGTGGTATATAAATTTTATGAAATAAATAAAAAGTAAGCAATGGCTATATTGCAAAGCCTAATTTGGCTTGGGACCTCAGTTAGCTGCCGGAACTCCTCTGCTGACCTCGGTCTCCCTGGACTCCAAAGTCTTCATCCGAGGCCCGGCTTTCAAGTGCCCCCTTCAAGAGGGCGTTTCAGGGGGGGGTTGCAGGGCCCCCATCTTTGCAGCACCCTCCCAAGCAAGGTCTGCTGGCACTGACTCTCCTACCTTTTTGGCAGCAGGTTAAGACTTCCTCTATTCCCAGGCATTTGGTGGCCTATTGATTTTTGCCATTTTTGCCATAACTGGCCCTTTGTGTTGTTGATTTTTCAGGGCTTTATGTGAGGGTTTAAGTATTGGACAGTCTAAGTTTTATTTTGTGTGTGCTTTTATACTACTTATAAATTCTGAAAGTGCATTGTAGGAGGCATTTTAATATAACAAATCATACAAACAGTGCACAGAATAAAAGCAATCCCAGAGGAGTGATGTGTAAAAACAGCATAACGTGATTGGATGGGGATGAATTCTGATTTAGGTTGCCCATCAGAACCCCATCCACTAGAGAGGAAGCCCCCTTGAATTAAATAGGATTTACTTCTGAGAAGACGCAGTTAGAATTGCCCAATAGAAAACCTGAAAAACAAGAAGGCCTTTGCCCAGTGCTGAAAAGACATGGAAGGAGGCGTGAGCCAAGCCTCTCCAGGGAATATGTCGCATGATGTGAGGCACTCCATAAACAGCCTCAGATGAAGATCTTCAACTCCATTTCCCAACATGTTATGATGATTGATAATTATTATTTAATGAATGTCTACCCCGCCCTTCCTCCCCAAGGAGTCCAGGGCGGCAAACAGGTTTAAAAACAATTTAAACAATTGAAAAACGAAAAGCAGAAACATTCTAAAAATATATTTTAAAAATTACAATAAAGAATGCCTAAAAGCAGTTACAGTTTATTTATTTCATAACATTTACATGCCATTTGCTTATTAAAAGAAAAAATCTCAAACCAGCTAAAATCAGAATTGTAGAGTTGGAAGGGATCCCTAAGGGTCATCTAGTCCAACCCCCTGCAATGCAGGGATCTCGACTAAAGCATCCATAACAGATGGCCAGCCAACCCCTGTTTAAAAACCTCCAAGGAAGGAGAGTCCAGCACCTTCCTTCATGCTTCCGTCCAAAGATCCTGAGAATTCTTCAGCCATCAAATGCCCAAGTAAAGAAAAATGTTTCCAAATTCCTCCTTAAAGCTAATAATGGTGGGCATTCCACAGTCGGGGAGCCACCACTGGAAAGGCCCTGTAAAAACAAAGAGGCTTATTATGGCACCAGCTTTTCTGGACTACAGTCCGCTTCATCAGAGGCATGGAGTGTTTTCCTGAGCTTCAGGGGTATGTTTGTGTGTAGATTAGTGAAGCTGGGAGGAAATAAAATGCAGAAAAGTGCAGACAGTGATAATTAGGCTATTAACATTCACAAGACCAGGGTGATAACGTATTGGTAGGTCAGTTAACACACCTTAGAGTTGGTGAGGTGGACCTTAGTCCACAAAAACTTCTGCCATAGCAAATCTGCTTGTTTTTAAGGCACCACAAGACACATTTATTTCTCCTGTGCAAGTCTAGTTTGACTACCCCACTGGGAATTGTAACATTGTGGGGAACGTTAATATTTATTTTTTTGCAAGAGTTAAATCCATATTGAGAGTGGTGGTTTCTTTTTCTCCCTGTACCCGCAAAATGCACTTGGCAATGTTTCCTCTCAGGGCGGGGGGGGGGGGGGACCTTTGTCAGCCACAGGTGCAGGCGCCCTTCTAGGCAGGCTTGTCCCCTGTCCCCTAACCCAGGCAGGCTTCCTGGGGCAGTGGTGGGCGGAGCCAGAGGAAAATGGGTGGAGCAACCCAGGCAAGGCTGCCTGGATTCCACACACTCACACATCCTCCCCGGGGTCAAGCAAGGGGCCAAGTTGGTCTGAGTTCACAGACCCATTCCAGCCTGGAAGACACGCTCAAGGAAGAGTGCAAGCCAGGCCTGGTAAGGGAGAGTCCCAAGGAGCAGGGGGGCACCTGAAGTTCTCTGTGCTGGGGTTTTAGAAAAAGGCCTCCCCATGCCGATCTCTGTGTGTGGTGCCTTCCCTGTTGAAGGTGTGTGTGACTCCTGCATAGCAGGGGGTTGGACTAGATGACCCTCAGAGCCCCTTCCTTTTTTATATATATATAAGATATTTGTTCAAGTTTTACAAAAAGAAAACGTAAGTTTACAAAATAGAAAAAAATATAACAACAATAAACAAGCTAAAATTATAACAACAATTAACAAACTAAAAAACACACATAGAAAAAAGAATAAAAAAGGTACAAAATACAAAAAACAGGTAGCTGAAAAAAAGAAGTTTAAAAAGAAAATATATCCATTTTTCAATCTCTTTGGGTTCATTTACTTGTTTCCTTGACCTTCTCACACCTCCCCTTTTTGTATTCCCGTTTACAAAAACATTTCAGCAAATCCTTACCCTCTTTCATTTAACTTTACTCTATATCTTAACTTATTCAAATTCAAATTCAAAATCCTTTATTAGGCATATCACACCTCACATTAACAAACAAACATCATATACAGACTGTATAAAATATGGGCTCATCGAACACAATTTATCCCAGTATAACTGGTTTGATAAAGATTGTATTAACTATAAGAAAGAACTTAGAACTTGTCTAAAAGAAGCCTATATTACCAACTCTCAAGGTCTCTGGAAGACTTATTTTGAAATGAAAAAAGCTTTTAAGAACATGCTCCTGGGGAAAAAATCTGAGTTCGCACTAGCCAAATGGTCTAAAATTGTTACTGCATTAGAAATTAAAGATACCAAAACTTTTTGGTCACTTCTCTCAATAAAAGATATCACTGATTTCCCTAATATTAGCGATGAGGCTTGGATCTCACATTTTACTGCTGTTTTTTATGATCACCAAGTTTGTAAAAAGGAAAATTTTAAATTTTCTCTGGCAAAAACCACACAATTTCAAATTACTGTTGAGGAGATGAAAAGGATAATCTTCTCGTTTAAGCAAGGGAAATCACCTGGTATGGATGGCATTCCAATAGACCTGGTGAGATTAGATGTAGAATGGTGGGCCAACAAACTTGTACCGCTTTTTAATTCTATCTATCACTCAGCCCTTGTACCTAAGTCGTGGAACAACTCAATAGTGGTACCGATCTTTAAAAAAGGTGATAGGAATTGCCAAGAGAACTGCAGGCCTATAAGTTTGTTACCATGCATAAGTAAAATCTATGCCAAGTCTCTGCTTATTAAATTGGAAGAATGGGTGCTGTCAAAAGGTCTACCTGGTAAAGAGCAGGCTGGTTTTAAGGCAGGCTCGTCAACTCTTGACCAGTGTCTAGTGTTAAGTCATCTTGTGGATAAATATGTCACGAGAAATAAACGAAAACTCTTTGTGGCATTTGTGGATTTAAAAAGTGCCTTTGATTCGGTCGACCGCAATAAACTATGGACTAAACTAGAACATCTTGGTATCGACCCATATCTACTTACACTGATTCAAAGTTTACACTCTAATAACCAAATATATGTTAAAGTATCAAAAGATGGTAGACTTGCAGGTCCTATTCTGAATAATCGAGGAGTTAGGCAAGGCTGTATCTTGGCCCCTACCCTATTTAATCTATTTTTATCTGACCTACCATTATTTCTTCAAAACGCAGCCACTCATACTCCTTATTTAAACAATAGCCCACTCTTTTTATCTTAACTTATTATAACTATATTTTCATCCATTATCCATCCATATTTACATGTTCTTATTAATCTTGTAGCCAATACCACTTATTTTCAATCCAACATCATTTTAACATTCATTAATTTTACAGTATTTCTGCAAATAGTCTTTAAATTTCTTCCAATCTTCATCCACCGACTCTTCTCCCTGGTCTCGGATTCTGCCAGTCATTTCTGCCAATTCCATATATTCGATCACCTTCGTCTGCCACTCTTCCAGGGTGGGTAAATCTTGTGTCTTCCAATACTTTGCAATCAGTATTCTTGCTGCTGTTGTTGCATACATAAAAAGAGTTCTATCCTTCTTTGGCACCAATTGGCCGACTATGCCCAAGAGAAAGGCCTCTGGTTTCTTCAGGAAGGTATATTTAAATACCTTTTTCATTTCATTATAGATCATCTCCCAGAAAGCCTTAATCTTTGGGCACGTCCACCAAAGGTGAAAGAATGTACCTTCTGTTTCTTTACATTTCCAACATTTATTATCGGGCAAATGATA